CCCATAACTCCTCAAGAATTATTTAACGTCGCAGACAGGACGACGTGATCAGCAGGTCTCTCAACACTTAGACTGCCTGTTGCGCAGCCCACAACTCAGCCTTTCGGGCCTACCGTGCCACACCGAGCAGCCCGCCGGTCTGTACCAGTCCTTGGGAGGGTTAGGCCTCCGGGACAGTCGAGTCGTTAGACATAGTCTTTAGCCCTACTTGGTCCGGCAGGGGTTTGGTCAACAAGGAATATCCTTCATCCACAAAGTACTATCACCTGGACAGAAGAGACTCGATGCAGAAAGAAGAGACAGACAGACTGGACTCAGCAAGTACCATAGGGTGTGTGCACATCCATAGGGCGAGGGGTAGGTTGAAGGCTTGGCGAGATTATACCGGCTCCAACTTGGTCAAACTCGCTTGGTCAATGCCGGTCAACGCAGCGGTCAACTCCCGGTCAACTCCCGGTCAACCCCCGGTCAACTCCAGTCAGCGCCGGTCAACACCTCCGGCCAACTCCTGGTCAACCCTCCCGGTCAACTCTCCGGTCCGCTATGGCTGCCGGCTTCTCTTCCCCTCACCAACCTCCTCTTCACCTGTCTCTTATACACATCTAGATGTGTATAAGAGACAGCTCCTGGTCAACCCTCCCGGTCAACTCTCCGGTCCGCTATGGCTGCCGGCTTCTCTTCCCCTCACCAACCTCCTCTTCACCTCGCCTCTTCCTTCTTTCACCCCGGCTGTCTCCTTTCTCTTTTTTTTTTTTTTTTTTTTGACTGTCTCTGCCTTCACCTCTCTCGGCTATGGCTTCCCTCACTTTGCTCGGTCTCTTCCTCTTTGTCCCTCTTCACCTCCTTCCTTTGTCACTCTGTGGTCAAACTCCGCGGCTATGGCCGCAATCTTCTTCTTCGTGGACTGCGCAGCAACTTCACAGGTACATGACAGCCAAACTTGTATCGCTCATCTCTCTATCTCTCTCTCTCGCGCGCGCCGTAGCGATAGCTCCAGCGCAGCAGGTACGTAGTCACCCAATCTTGTATCGCTCAACCTCTCTCTCTCTCTCTCTCTCTCTCTCTCTCTCTCTCTCTCTCTCTCGGTCTTCTTCTTCGTCGTGTTCTCTACAGGTGCGCGGCGGCTTCTCCAACCTCCAGGTCCGCTATGGCGGACTACTGCTCTCGGCGGCCACCTCTGCTATGGCGCATCACTCCCTGCACACGACGCAGCGCATGGAATAGCGGGTACCAGCTTTGATACCAATGCAATCATACTCGCTTTCATTCACACTTTTCATGCATGCAAACAGTAGCGCAGCAAACTGGCGACATGCGCCCACTCAAAACTCAGAGATATGGAAACCCAGATACGAGTTCACTTTCAATGACTACGGCGACTCAGCGCCCAAACAACTCACTGTTCGCATACACCGGATCACCCTGGATATCCCACACGCGATACTCTGCACTCACACACACACACACACTACACACTAACTCTAGCTATGGCGGCTATGGCTGTAACTACCCTATCGCTATGCTACGCTCCTTCTCTCTCGCCCACTTCGGCTCCGGGCACACTGCAGACCTCCTTGCACAAGTCGTTGTGGCAGCGCTTCCGCATGGCTCACGCAGGAATGAATGAATGRCTGGGCGCTGCCTCTTGATTTATACTTCTGAAGCTCGTAGGTCTGCCCTTTTCCATCGGCCCATGGTGCTCGTGGTACTTGCTGGACCGGACGGGGACTGACTGGACCTTATCGCTGACTGAATGGGGACTCACTGCTATCCTACCGCTATCGTACTGCGAACGTGCTGCAGTTAGTCCACCACTTGCCCACTTGCCCACTTGCTCGACCTTCTAGAAGGACCACAGCTAAGACTTCTAGAACTCACTAAGACTTCTATTCTACAGATCTACAGATCGAACCCCTGCTACCTACGGACCCGTCTACTAGCTGTTACAAGTACACAGGGCGTGGGTTCAAGCCTTGGGGTCGACAACACAGATACTGTACACCGGTAGGGTAAGGGCTAGGGATCGAGCCCTGGGGTCTGCATCTGCTAGTGCAAAAGGTGAAAACCGTTTCACAGATAAAGACTCTTAAACCACCAGTACTTGGCCCAGCTATCGGACACGGAAAAAAAATGAAGTAGAAATGTTTCTCGTTGGATGAATTTGGGCGCTCTTGTAGTGTCCCGTATGTTTCCTAAAATCGCGGCGCATTAACGGGTACGACTTTAGGAAGTACTGGTGGTTTAAAGAGTCAATTGATGGGCCTAGCTCAGTTGGTACACGCATCAATTGTTGGCTCACGGATCTGAGTTCGAATCCATATGGAACAAGATGAATGAAACAAGATACTTCTGAATTACCTGGGGCCGGTCAGTTTGACGGCGATATTTGGAGAAAATTAAAAACGAGACATTATATACTACTTTCCCTCCTACATGAATTTTTTTTTCTCCAAGGATCAGTGTCAAGTTCGTTAGATGGTAAGATAGCAGAGGATGGGCTTGGGCATGATATGACGGCGTGTGGAGTTGAGTTCATAGATGCAATGCAACTTGAAGTGTTGGTCGAAAAATGGGATTAACATAAAAATTTCACAAGAAATCAAAGTTAGTTCTTCCAATTCCAAAAATTTCCAGTTTTATTTGACAAGTTTCCATCAAAAAATGAGTTTTCCCTTCGAACTACATCTATTTGTTGAAGATGGAATGAAAGCCAGGACGAGTCTATAGAATGTCTTAATTAAAAGATCAGCACGCAATAATGAGTCTCTAATGAGTCTCTAATGAGTCTCTATTACTCTCTAATGAGTTTCAATCATGAGATCAGCACGCAATAATGAGTCTCTAATTGCTGACAGTCTCTCTCAGCTGCGCAGATGGCGCACAGCAGTTCTTTCAAGATGCCGACGGAATTTTACGGCGTCAACGTACCAAGCACCTACTCAAACTGCCTCGCGTGATGCCAACACATCTTTTCGGCAGCTACAACAGCAATTCGCCTTGGCACCTGTCGATAAAACATCACACAACATGGCAATCTGCTGCAAGCGCTGGTACGCGTATAAGTTATCACAGCATCTTGACAGTTCCCCCTACAATCAAGCATCGGAGACTGGGGCCAGCATCCTCAAACGCCATGCACTTTTCAACCAACGTTGGGGCTATCAACATACCGACACCCTGCCCTATCTCTACTTTGCACTCAATGCACACAAATTTGAAATCTCCACCTGCCCTTCATCCAATTCTTGGAGTTACACAGCGAAACAACCTTTCCCAATCTGCACCTTGCTCAACTCACCGACCTTCAGTGACGGACCTGCACAACAGGCCCCCTCAGAAGCCTCTTGCAAGGACAACAATGGCCTCGCGCTCACTTAGCTACGCCCTTCAAGGTGTAATCAAGTCCCTGTGCAGTAAGGATAATGAGCTTTATCAAGGAAATGGTGTACAATGTTGCTGGAGCGTGCAGAGTGCCAAGGAAGTCACTCTGGATCTCACGCAGAATGCGCAATCCCTTCGAGGCTGTACACCACATACAGCGGACTTTACAACTATGACCCGAACCTGTCACACGACAAGATTTTTAACAATGGTCTGAATGCTGTTCGTGAAGCACATGATTATGCTTTGGGGCAAATCTCACAGGGCAGAGGAGAAGATTGAGGTTGCTTTTAAAAGTTCACGGAGACGCTGTCCTCTAGCCAATTGGTTATGAATAGCTTTATCTAGATCTGAAGCAAACTGAGCGAAGGCTTCCAATTCTGTGAATTGAGCTAACTTTAATTTCAATTTTCCAGCTACTTGTTTCATTGCTTTAATTTGTGCAGTTGAACCTACTTGAGGTACAGATGTACATGACCGTAGGAGGTCCTCATCGTGGGGAGTGGGTTACTTCCCATGGGTCAGACACCCTCGCGGTGTCAGAAATAGGGCAACATTTGTGGTTTGTGGTCTCTAATACTTATCTTTATACGAGGGATGGCACTCTGTGCCATCAGGTGGTCGGTATCCCTATTATGGGCACTAACGCCGGACCAGAAGGTCATCGAGATCTGCGTGCTGCGCAAGCATATGCATTCACATACTGATTCATTGATGACATTCTATCTTGGAAGACATTACCTCCGTCTCCTGCTCGGTATGGTCTTGAGTGTTAGACACTACTGAGCAAGGTGGGTCGTGTCTTTTCCTTGGGGCAAGAATCCTGGTTCGGCCTCGTGGCTCACTTCGCATTGGCATGTTTGATAAGGCCGAGGCCTGGACGTTCCCTGCCATACATTATCCCAGTGCTTCCTCCGGTGCCCCGGCTCATCAGCCTGCAGGTGTGCTCACGGGACAACTAACGAGATTCAAACATATATGAAACAATACCACCGACTTCAAAGCGGCAGTGACTTCCCTGACAGTGGCTGACACGACTTTTGCTTGTCAGGGGCCATCCTCCCAGTGTCCTGGCCAGAGGCTGGACTGCATATGTGCACGGCCAGCAGCGCCGGCTACCAACTCATGTCACACTACTTTCAAACTGCTCCTCGCCACATGGTTCGCTGGGCAATTGCTCACCCACTCCCGAAAGCTGATTCTGTGCGCAGGTCCTCCACCCAACCTCACACAAGAGACCATCACTCACCGCCTGACACCATTGTTGACCACATCCAGCATCAGCCCTCCGCACAATCAAACGCAGACAGCCCGCCCTCCCCTGTTATCCCTGCTGAAATGGCAGACGCTAATGTCGATATGCCAACTCATCCAGAGACTATGCCAGCCAATAAACAATATAAACGCTGTAAGGGATGAAGGCCAGCATCCTACCAATACGACGACTGTTGCTGCTGCTGAAGGTATACCTCCTCCACCGCCACTGCTGTCACAGCCGCCTGCACCACCACCACCACCACCGCCTGCACCACCACCGCTGTCACGACTGTTGCTGCTGCTGCTGAAGGTTTGCGTTTTTGTTTTGACTTTTTTTGAATTTGGCTCTCGTTTTTTTGCAGGAATATTTGCCGAACGGTATCCGAGTTCAAGCCCATGTTCCATTAGCGATGTCACGACAGCTGCTGCCACTCCGCATTCCACTTGCGGCGACACCTGGGTCCTCATCATCTGTGTTGTCATCATCTCCCTCTTGATCTTTTCAATAGGTCTGATCTGGCCTGTGATGGAAACTGACAAATGGAATTGTCAGAAAGGATAAGGTAGCAGCAAATAACAGACAATATTTGTTTTTTAGATGAGAGCATTTGTTCATTCTCCTCGAGTCCTTGGTATATATTTGCTTGTAAAGACAGCTTCCTACTTTCACAAATGGTCATTGGCGGGGGGGATTTGACTCAGCCATTGTGCTGGAAGCCGAAGTGCCACTTGGTTCTGCGCATGTGCCAGCTGCCATGCGTCTTCGTTATCCTATTAGGTGGTGTGCAGTTCCTGGGTGCTTTTCCTGCTTGGCTTGGTAAAAAAACTCTCTGCCACATGTCACACCATTCTCTAATTGCGAGTTTCCCATTCATTTGGAATTGTACATGTATTGTATTGTATTGTATGTGTATCTTCTTCGATTACACTTCATTAAAGTTCATTTGGAATAATATTCTTTTGTTCGGTTGGATATCGTCTTTCGCCTGTGTACCAACTTCACATCACTGCGATTTGTTGCGCAAAGGCCATATCACAGCATGGTTTGTGTAGCCCTTTGCATGTGGTTGTTTGCCTCCAGGACTTGCTGTGGTGCCTTGAACAATCTACCAACTCAGCACCATGAAGTTGACGAGGTGTTGAGCAGACCCAATTTTCTCGTTGTCATATAGCGTTACAGTAGCATCCATCTTGCATCGCTTGTTGAGCATCGCGTCTGCTTTTGCTCAACAATTTAGTTCTGCGACTCCATAACGGTGATATCTGCGGCTCTGGTGCTTTCTCATTTCCATGCTGCATGTCGGCATGTAGAATATTCTTTAACTTGAAGGAGGCTATTTGTGGTGGTGGTGAGGGAGGGGGAATAAAAATGGAAAAGCCGGAGATATCAGATGCGAGAATGGCGACATGGCTAACAAAAGATCTTATGTAAATCATGATCGTCAAACTTCCGCGTAAAACACGATTGCCGACTGCGGACATAGATAACAAATAATTATTGTGTAAAACATGATCTCCAAGCCTGGGCCTAACTTTCAGCCTTAGCTGAAAGTGGGTAAGGGCCCGAGCATTCGGGCAGATTGTGGGGAGCCTGGCCCCCAATCTATGTGTCGGTCAGTTGGTCGGCCGAGCGGGCGCGTGGGCATGCGGCCAGGTGGTTAGTCAATGCTTTTGTTGTTTCGGTGATTTTGTTTTTCCTGATTTTGTTTGTGGCCGTCCCTCTGGGGTTTTGTTTTGCTCTCCTGCCATTATTTTCGTTTGGTGGCACGATTCGTTCAGGGTGATTCCTCCCCCCGCCCCCGTCCCATCCTTTTTTCTTCTCTGTAGGATCCCGAGATCCAGGCCATGGAGCACACAATAAGGCGAAGCGCACATTCCAACAAGTCAGGCGGATGGCAAGGCCCAACCTCATGGGGCAGGCTGTGAAAGCATCACACATCCCACAAGACACCTTCACGGATACCAAGCAGCTGAAGGAGCCCCGAGGCCACCTTCGCCACCACTCTGTGCAGCCACTCTGATACCAAAGGACGCAGAGCCTCCTTATCCAGTTGTGACATCACCCAAGACAAATGGCACGCACCATTCTGAGGATGGACACGATGACCACACCACAACATGGATGCATCCGCTCTCCCCGAAACCTACCAGATGAGGGTGCTAGAGCTGAGAATATTGGTGCTCGACACCGCCATGAAACGGTTTTCACCTTTTAGCAGTAGCGGATGCAGTACCCAGGGTTCGATCCCTAGACCTCACCCTACCTATGTACAGTATCTCTATAGATCCCGAGAATTGAACCTGTGACCTGTGTATTCGCAGACAGTTGGTAGGTCTGTCGTAGGTCCATAGGCAGCAGGGGTTCGATCTGTAGGTCTATAGCGTAGAAGTCTTAGTGAGTTCCGGAAGCTTAGCTGTAGACCTTCTAGAAGGTAGGCAAGTGGGCAAGTGGTGAGGCAAGTGGTGGACTAAACCGCAGTGCAACAGCAGTACAACGTCGGTAGGATAGCGGTGAGTCCACAGTCAGTCAGCGGAAGGTCCAGTCAGTCCCAGTCCGGTCCAGCAAGTACCACAGGGGGACTGTGAGCACCAAGGGCCGATGGCAAAGGGCAGACCAACGATTTTCTGAAGTATAAATCAAGAGGCAGCGCCCAGCCATTCATTCATTCCTGCGTGAGCCATGCGGAAGCGCTTACACAGGGACTTGTGCAAGGAGGTCTGCAGATGAGCCCGGAGGACGCAGTGGGCAAGAGAGAGGGAGTTAGCATAGCGATAGGTTAGATGCAGCGATAGCTGCCATAGCTGTAGTTAGTAGTGAGTGTGTGTGTGTGTTCGAGTGTTAGAGTGATGCATGTGGGATATCCAGGGTGATCCAGTGTATGTGAACAGTGAGATGTTTGGGCGACAATGTCGCCATAGCCAATTGAGAGTAAACTCGTATCTGAAAGCCATATCTCTGAGTTTTGAGTGGGTGCATGTCGCCAGTATGCTGCGTTGCTGTTTACATGCATGAAAAGTGTGTTTGAGAACGAGTCTGATTGCAGCCATGTCCACCACCTGCGAATAACCACGAACTGCACCGCGGCTGACGGTTAGGCGCCAATCGTCGTCGGAGGATGAGTGAGGGTGACCGGAACGAGCTACCAGCCAGCACCACAGCATTAAAAAGCCCCTACAGCTGCCACCACGCGCAGGGGAATCATGGAAGCCCTCCAAGAGAGATGTCTCGAGGCCCAAACGGGCGCTGGCTGTCGACCATCCAGGGATGATTCGCCTCCCCCACGCGAACAGGAAGCCACCGAAAGCATGTGCAGAGAGTGCCTCGTAACTCGAGTGCAAGGTCCCAAAACTCACGCCTCGAATGTCGCCCTCGACTGCAAGGGGCCTGCCAAGCACGCCCCTTTTCAGTGCGATTTTGGCCCCACACTTTTTTGTTTTTTTGGAGGATTGATTTGTTTTCTTCTTTGGTGATGGGGTGATTCCTTTGTTGTAACCATCAGTGCACATGTGTGCTGGTCAACATTGATGTGCGGTTGACCAGTGAGCGAACATCGTGCACTGTGAACATCGACCCATGCCACCATTGCGTTGAAGGAGAGTTCAGCAGGAAGGGCAGGAGGAGAGTATGGGTAGGAGGAGAGGAGGGGGAGGAGGGGGAGGAGGAGAGGAGGGGAAGGGCGGGGTGGGGAGGTGATTCCTTTGTTGTAACCATCAGTGCACGTGTGCTGGTCAACATTGACGTGCGGTCGACCAGTGAGCGAACATGCACTGTGAACATCGACCCGTGCCACCATTGCATCGAAGGAGAGTTCAACAGGAGGGGCAGGAGGAGAGTATGGGTAGGAGGCGAGGAGGGGGAGGAGGAGAGGAGGGGAAGGGGGAGAAGGAGAAGAGGGGCAGGAGGAAGAGAGGAGGAGGAGGAGGAGGAGATGAGGGGAATGTCACAAACGATAGCATGCACATGCTGCAAGCTGGGGAGGGAAAGGGGAAGGGAGAGTGATCGGGGAAGGCATGTAATATCGTTGGGAAGACTGTTTTCTTTCTGCATGTTGCGGACCAGCACAAGGAGCAGGGTTGTGAAGCAGGAGATGGATTTTTCTTCTTATGTTCTTTACGGCATTAATTTTCATTTCGGCCCAAGACAAGAAGTGAAGATGAATGCGCGTGGGTATGAGAGCGTCGGGATGGAAGCATAGGATCGATAGGCGGAGAAGGATGGCATTCTTGACCAAGGGTGCAGGACACGATGCAAAGAGGGAGGCAGGTCGAGGGGGCGGAGAGGAAGGGGAGTGTAGAGGCAGGGGAGAATTATTTTCTTCGAGGCATCTCAGGGGTATGGGGGAGCAGGTAGGCTAGCGGAGGGACTGTGTCAGGTGGAAGTAGGAAGGGGAGACAGAAGAAACGAGGAGGCGGTGGAGGACATGGGAATGTCGACTGCTTCTTAGTGCGGTGGCTGGGAGCGTGTATTTGTTTAGTGTGTATAGTTGTTCAGATGGATGCCTTGCAGGTTAGTGAATCCTGGCCCATTCCGAGTTCAAGGAAGACATGTGTTATGTATCTATCTGTGCAGTATTTCTTGTGTTCGGAAACAAGTGTATGGGCAATCCTTTTCTTTCTTTCTTTCTTCGTGAACCAAGTCAAAAATGGAATATGATAAAGAGAAACAGAACCTGACTGCACCAGCAAGGGAGAAGCCTGTGATGCCATCAGAGGAGTGAGGTTGTGTGTGTGTCCATGTGTTGTGTCTGTGTCTGTGTCTGTGTCTGTGTCTGTGTCTGTGTCGTGTGTGTGTGTGTGTGTGTGTGTGTGAGAGAGAGAGAGAGAGAGAGAGAGAGAGAGAGAGAAAGAGAACTGCACCTATTGGTTGGGTCGTAAAGTGAGTGTGCAAATGCCGAAAGGAGGAACAACACGAAGGATAGTTGGAGGAATTCTTGTTTAGGATTTTTTTTCTATGGATCTTACTCTGGATTAGGATCATCTCTTTAATTAATCAAAAATACTCAATCAATTAGAATCTTATCAATTTATTATATTCTCTATTTCATCAAATTCATTGAATAGAAAAMAAATATACAAMATATATATAGAGAGAGAGGAACTAGAGGAAAGAACTAAATTTGTATCTTATATCGATTGTTTTTATGGTCTATTATTGATGAGTATTCTATTAGAATTAGAATTCTATTCTATGTATTATTGTATGATAATTATTATAGATTCTATTTATTGTATAATTCTGAGGAAACACGTAGGCACAAACACACACACACACAAATACCATTAAGAGCCCACTTCCCAACTAAGTAGTAATAATAGCAATATTTAATTAGCTAGTAAAATAAATATATATTTTTACATATATATAATTAATATAATAATAATAAATTGTCTAATTTACAACTCGTAGATTTCGCACAAACACATACACACACACCATGGTAACTGCCCGGACGTCCGGACCGGGTTCCAGACAGTCCGGTGTCTGGTGTCCGGTGTCTGGTCCCCATGTCCGGATGGAGGCCCCTGGGGCAAAAATAAAAAAAAACAAATGGGGCGGCCCAGGACGTTTGTCGGGTCCTAGCCGCCCCTCGAAAAATAACGGGGTGATTTTTAAGTGTCCTTTCACCCCCCCGTACATGGCCTAGAGGTCCAGACACAAGACACAAGACACTGCAGGTTTTTGAGGTGGCGGGTTTCGCACAGGCCCGAGCAATTTCAAAGTGGCCGTTTCGACATGGTGCCCGCCGCTGCTGCCCGTTGGGGAGAGAGAGAGAGAGAGAGAGAGAGAGCACTGACAGTGTTGCCAGTCTGAAGACTCTGACGTTCTGAATTGAACTGCAAAGTTCGAACTTTTAAATTATATATGTTGTGAA